AATTCTCACTCCATAAGAAATCCAGGATCATACACGATCTAGTTCCAATGTTGCGACCAAGAGCGGCCATAGTTGTGTATTTGATAAAATGTGTTGCAGGTCTGCACACGGTGTGGATAACTCCATGAACAGTGAATGATTACATAAAAAGTGTAGTCCATGAAAATAAATAAAATAAAAAACTCAGCCTGCGTGATGGAAGGCTGGAAATTCTAATATGCGCAGTGCCAAGTGAAGTGCCCAGTGTCAACTAACGTGGAGTTCGAAAAAAGAAACTTGCACGCGACAACTTGGTTATCGTCGAGCAGGAAAAACCTGGGTCCACTCCTACTTATCGTATTATCTAAGCTCCTAAATTCATTCACTTATAATAGTGAGAAGAAAATTGGATAATTGTGGTAACGCTTGACGAGTGCGACACATCACCACCAGGTAGTGAGCACACAGTGGGAATTGACGATTTATCTTACTCCAGGGCGCGGACAGTAACACGGAGAGGGTTCGAAGATTCGTACATGTCGATCTCGAGAAATGGAGAAGCCGTCCTGTTAACGATGATCTGTTCCGTTACTATCTTACATGTCTTTGATCAGAGGTAGTTAAATAAGATTTTGACAGACTTCACTGTCAAAAGTGCTGAGACCGCACAAACCTTGCGATGTTCCTTCGTATAAGTCCCCAGTGCTTCAGTTCATAGACTATCCATCCCTTTCTGGTACATCCACAATTCTGCTTCACTGTGTAGTCCCTGAGTTTGAGGATGAAGCCCTCGAGTCGGATGTCCAGATGCCGTTCAAATTGAAGATACTCGAACATCTGTCTGAAGTCAAGGTCGGTTCCCCAGAATCTAATCATCGAGGACGCCTCTTGGTATCGGTTAAGATTAGAGAAAAAACAGAGCTCTCAATGGTTCAGAAACATCCATTGACGACGAAGCATTGATACTCTTCTGACCGCTTGAGTAGGCTACATCCTCGGTTGAAATGAATGATAGATTCCACAATTTACGGCTGCTTCTTCACACAGTGTAGGTGAATTCAAGACATGCAAAAATGGACACGAGAACGTGGCGGAGTCCAGACTGATTGCTGAAGCAAGCCCTCCGCGATATGAAAACGGCCTTTGCTAGAACCGATATATTCCCAGAATAGCGCCCGCTGGTGTTGACGAAGCACTTGTAATAGACGTTGTCTTGTTCCTTCAAGCCTTTGATGAGGAGGTTCTGCAAGTCGAGGTCGATTCTGCTAGAGCCCACAATCTGAACACTGCTTCTGTATTTGAGCGAATCGATTTCGTCAATCGGAGAATGAATGTGGTTGGGAGGTAATTTTCTGTTGTATGTGAGTAAGGTCCCCGACACGGACGCAATATTGGCCACCACAAGGTCTTGGTATGTGAGTAGAACCGTGTCTTGAGCCTGCTCCTACCCCCAACTTCCTTTCTCAATATTCACACGATCGGCGTGCAACGTTTGGGAGAATCCTCTATCGTTGCTCTCGATCTCTGCATTTATCTTGACATCCTTGGAATACCCATGAATGAGGATACGAGAGCATTACGTTGTACCCAGATGTGAAGTCCAAATCTCTCACAAAAATCTGGACTCGCTTCTTCTTGAGCAGCCTCTCAGCAAAATTGTGAAGGGGGACAATATAGGTGGTGAGATCGAAAGACAATTGTTGTTCCTTCGGTGAGGAATGCTTCAGAGTTCCAACGCTTGATACATTACCGTCGTACAACTGAACTGTCTAATTGTAAAACCGGCACGCAAGTTCATTCGTTTTCGTTAGACTTATGGATGCCATGAGTAGAAGTTGGCGGCAACTTATAGCACAGCTTCTCCAAGAACGCATAAGCCTTGGCTGAATACAACATATCTTCCAGATCCCTTTAATACTTTTTGAGACTAGTGCATCCCAAGATAGTTTGGAGAGCATTGTGCAACCCTATCAGCGTCGATAGTAATTCCTGGCAATCTTCCTTGTGTGAGGAATTGATACAGCACTGGTACACCTTGCATTTCTCAATCACTGCAACTACCATCTTCGCAGTAAGTGCGGTAAGTGAATGTAGCATTGACAATTGTTTGATGAAGCTCACCGTCCACTCTGTTTGGGTGTTGATTCTGCAAATCATCGTGTTTGTGGGTTGTTCGTCTATTGTTTCTTCTCAGTACAAGGTGAGAATTGTTGGGATTCTTTTTCTCCGTTTGCTTTTGACTAGCGTTTATAGCTAAATGTCTTTGTGCAAATTTCTATTTTCTCTTTCTTTCTTCCCTTCATTGTATAAGACAGCCAAGTTGCATAAAAATGTGGATGTGATTGACAACTGTTACTTTTTCTTTGATAAAGTGATTACAATAAACGGTGAATAACAAGATATCATCAAGCAACGATTTAGAACTCATTTTGTGATGTATTTATTTATTTATTTATTAATGTGTGTTTGTATGTACAGAAAAGTATCACATGTAATCTATACATGTAATCGGTACAAAATAAAAAGGCAAATTTTGAATACGTTATGTAGCAGTTTTAGATGCGATTATGGTTTAACTAGCCAATAATGGAGAATATGCATTTGCAAGGTGTAATTAACAATTTAAATTTTAGAAGTCCTCTTTTTTTTAATTACGTTTAAATCTATTTTACTGTCATATTAGCAATACCACTTTACAGCTAGAGTCATGCATCTCAAAAATATCCGTTGTGTAATTACCCACAATTGAACAAAGAAATTAGTATATTTTGCAGTTGGTGGACAAGTTTGTAAAGTTGATTGCATGTATTTAAAGCTGTTAGTTTTATTAAAAGTTTAATCGAACTAAACCTCTTATAACTAAGAGTCTTGAGAACCATTAAAAAACCACAATGTATAATATTCAGATGTATAAATTCATCAGTCAACAAGATGATATATGGATTAATAGTACTTTGACTGTAAATGTATATATTTTTTCAAATCCACTATTTACAAATACAAAACAATAATATTTACAAGTAATGTAATAATCAACAAAAAAAATGTAAATCTAAACAAAATACTTGCAAATCTGGAGCACTTGTTTCCTAGACCAACATTACTTGAAAATTTCTATCATGATCAGAAAGAAAAAAGACGATAAGAGAAAAAAAAAAAAAAAAAAAAAAAAAAAATCCCTATCTCATCACATGCTTTAGTGTATAATACGTACACAAATCAAACTTTGTCAACATTAAAATTTAAATAACTACAATAATAACAAACAGTAAAGTTCAACAGTGAAAAATTACCCACAACCACAATGAAAAAAAGTACCAAAAAATACACAACATTTGTCTATCCAGGTAGAACAAACCAGGAATGTGCTAAATCTCGCACCGACCACTGACTTTTTTCAACGAGGAAGCTACAATCCTGATGATCCATGTCCACGGATTGGAATCCCTCGATCTCGACACGCGATACAGAATCGGACCCTGCGAGAGTACCGACTCTTTATGAGGTGCTGGTGATCCCTTCATGTGTTCTGCCTGTCCTCTTTGTGTGCATTTTGCTAATGATATGCGTTCAAGTTGACTGGTGCTTCGGGCTTGAGATTCCCCAAAATTTGTTTATCCCTTTGTACAACGAGATGAGCTTTCTGAAGTGCTTGAACGCATTTGCTTACGGAGGTTCAATGCAGTAAATGATGGCTCTTCATGGATTCCATTGATGGTGAGTGGGAAAAGGAGGTTTGCTTAACCATGCGGGATTCGAAAGAAATACCATTTTTGTCTATGCATGTGGTGTGCTGCGATCCAAATCGCCCTGCACTCCATGGCTAACCCATGAATTGTGTTTAAAATATCTCCACGTCGATTGAGTTCGTTGCGCTTGCCCCTCTCTGACACCCACGCGGAACAGTCCAAATTCCACCCTTGCACCAATTGCGTCCAACACCAGTGGCGGCAGTGGGCACTCGAGAAGAAGAGTATGTGATGGGTGAAAAGTGACAAGGAGAGGCAGAACTAGGATCTGGTTCGATGCAAGCGGGCAGGGCGCGGGAGAATGCGCGGAGGATGCTGCGGCGAGGCTGGCAGTTATACGGCGCTATGCACATGAACTTCAAGCTGTGAGGGAGTTGGATTGGGAGACACGCACTGATTTGGTTGGAGAATGTTGCTCTCTGTCCGGGAACCACAGGAGTCTAACCCGCCCCTCGAGACAGCGATCCTAGATTGCGGAAGCATATGCATACCTGACGTGCCTCTCTGCGTGGGGCGAAGTTCGGAGCGACGATGGGTGAAACTGGGTTCATCGAGGGGGTGACTTGCCCCTCAGAACGTCAGACCTCGAGTGAACGCTGCAACGCGTTAGCCAACACATGCCGATAAAAGTTTCTTTTGACATCGAAAATATGCTTTATCTGTCGTTCCTAGGCTTCAATCCAGTGAATATGGAGGGCATATAGTGATTGGTGCTCTTAAGGTTCCAAAACGCTGAGTCCACTATACCCCCTTCTTTCACGCCCGTCCCGACCAAAATTTGCCAAGCATTTCGGTTCGCGGCGACCGTCGGCAATCACTTGAAAAGGCACTGAGCAGCGTATTATGGAGATAGGGGTTGTTACTCGCGTGATTGGGATCCTTCTTCCAACAACGGCTGGGTAAGGTCCAGCCGCAAGTAGGACGCCACGCGTTGCCAGTTCAATTACAACGGACAGAAAGGCGTGCAATGCTTGTGGACGCGGATCTCACCGTAACAATGCGGCAATTCTCTGAGCGAACTGGAGCGGAGAGTGCAAGCGACGTCGACAGTTGTGGTCTCGCAGCGGTGCTTGCGAGTTGGTTTGATCGATTGTATGGACCGTGGCGGAATCCTGTAGATCCGTCGCCATTCAAGATCGCGAAGCTGATTCCTTTAACGGTGGTGAAGTGGTCATTGTTCAGGACAGAGAGGGGCATATATCCCATATAAATTGTAGATTATGTGGTGTTGAGTGGGTTTAAGAGCGGACGCCGGCACCAAAGACATTTCACAGCCGGGTGCCCAGCACAGAGCGAACTATTCTTTCGCCTTTTACTAAAGAATACCGTGCGCTGGACACATATACTGGCATATCCCAATTTTTGGATTGCCCCTACCCGGGGCCCACCAATGAAATCTGAAACATCAATTTTCACAAATTTTGCGCGAGTGTTCGCAATTGCAGACCTTGGCTCAGAATACACATGAAATCTTTAAACCCAGAAAACGATTTAAACCTATGAAAACCTGTTAATACTAAATTCTCGATTATGTCTTCACTTAACAGTTTTGACAGGATTTTACTTCCTTGGCAAAACGAAGGAAGTTCTAACTCTTAGCTTATTGTGGTGGCGTCCTCTCCGAACTCGAACCGGTGGTGATCCTCTAGACTGCATTTGTTTATCTCATTTCCATACTCTTCACGTACTTCCACACCCACCAGTGATTCAACCTTGCCATCCAACAATTTACTTTAGATTCAGGTGACATCCCCTCAATACGACGTCCAGTCAGCAATTTTGCTTTTAATGCTTTCCTGATCCACATGAAATTCTTCCTCTGCAATCTGTGAATCCCCAACCTCTGCATTCAGGAGCATAGATTAGGAGAAAGCGCTGTCTCTCCGAATTTTGATTTGGAACGACCACAATACCCTCATTTATTCCTCAGTGCAATCACCACCGATCTGAAATACTATAGTTTCGAGAAATTGCTCCAGCCTCGATTGGAATTAATTTGATCGACTCGAGTGTCAGTAAGGTTGTGCAATACATGTCAACTGTGGAATTTAGGGTGTTTTTGCTACTAAGGCTGTTGGGGAAAGCATCGTTCATTTCAATTCTCTCCATTGAGCCCTTCATACCTGGGCTTTAATGTTGCTTGCTATGGCCTCTCACTCCTACATACGGGGTTGCTTAAAAACCTGCGGGTGCTGAGGTCGCGGATTGTTGTCATAACCACTAGACGCAATCATGGCTAATTTTGCTTATAGTGATCATTTCTTCTTTGGTTTAGGTAAGCCTTCAGTTGCTTTGAAATCATCTTGCATTTTCTTGCACTGAAAGTCGGATGAAATTCACATGTTAATTTTTCTCTCTGGCTTCTTTTACTAGTCATTTTGGCCCTAAGTTCGGTAACTCTTTATCACGATCTCTGTGGTGAACTACCTCCGACAAATTTGTGCTGTTCCTTTTTACTGTTGTTATTGACGCTAGGCAGATAGAGGATCTATGCATTTACCTCTTAAAACGGCTCCTCGTTTTGGCAAACTCTTCGAATTCATAACCTCGCACTTCGCCTGGTTAGGTTAACCTAGAAGTTAGAAAGTAACTTGAGGGTGAAAGTTCAATGGAAAGAGTAGTCTTGTGAAGCAACTGGACGGTCTGAAATGTCAGTGATCATCCAGATGCAATTCTGGCATGGCCATGCCTTCTGGAACAAAATGTGTGGTCGGAACCAGAATGTGATGTAGCCCAAGGACAAGCAGAGTCTCATCACGGGTTTGGTCGAGGTGATGTAGTTGCAGTTATCTTCGAATCTCCTCTTTGTATTCCCTTAGGATTCTCCTGGTGCTTCCACGGTATTCTTCCAATTTCGTGACGTTTGTAGGGTTTTACGATGCTGAAGCGGTTTTTTACAGTAACGTTCAAGTCAAGAGAAACTACGAAATTGAGCAAACGTCTTGGTTGAAGGAAGACAATTGGACCCCGAGAGTCCATATCAGTGTTCGAGTTCAAAGCAAGTGAAAATGAAGCGCCACCTCTTGGTTACCTATAGTTCCCACGATTCCCATCAATCTCAGATGAAGGAAACATTCTTAGATGTTGGCGAAACCAATTTCTTTGCCGTCGGCCGTTAGTTGAATCCAACACTTTCTTGGACCCGAATTCTGAGTCCTTGGATTTTAGGTTAAAGTGGTGCGAGAGTATCTGCAATTATGCGAGACCAGAAAATCACACATTCCTGTTACAGATCACACACGTCTATTCCCAAAGTTGAATTTCTCATACGCACAAGGGCCTTCCTCGGTTTAGGTTTAGGTTTTTTGGGTAATAATGTGCTTGAGGCATTTAGCGGTCATTCACTCCAAAACGACTTTTCCCCTGATGAGCTGTTGAAATTGCTAACGATACTAAATACCTACCCCCATGTTGGCTGCTGATGAGAGGTGCGAATTTCTCACAACTAGGCACTGCTCTTCACAGTTGGTGCTTCACGATCCGTCTCACAAAAACTACCCCACGATCTTTCGACCATCAGATTCATTTTAAAAACGAATCCGAGGACCACTGATTCGAAACGGACTCTAGGCCACACCTGATGATGATTAGGGGCCTCGGCTGCGTTAATGTGACGAAGATCGGCAACTGATAATGAGTGCGACGGTCCTCCACGCCCAACACAACCATGGTAAAATGTTGCAATACGCTCTGGAACATGACTTCAAGACTCCCTTTATTAATGGACTTGACCACCTAAACTCTTCACACTTCCGTTAAGGACGATAATTCAGTGAGACAATTCTTGCATCACTAACAGCATCCTCGAGTGAACTGCATTTGCATTCAGGTAACGATTATCTAATCGTTGAGATCGTTGAGGAGTCTAAGTGTTAAGTGTTGAAGGTTGCTAGGATTCAAGTTTCTAGAAAAAAAGTCTTGCTACCGTTGTGCGTTTCATGTCTAGGACGCTTGATAGTTGTTCCTGCAAATTCAAATTCCAGCTCATGCGGGACGACGCTAACTGTGGATTGGAGCAAGATTTGCAATAGAATCCGATGCCGTAGATAACTTCAAACCGCTAACCATGCACATGATTCCAAGCTCTCACACCTTGGAATTCGCAGGGAATGAGTGATAGGATGGTAAAAAATTGCATTTTTTCATGCTTAGCCATTCAAAACTGGACGAAAACTTAGCGCATTCTACCTTTGCGTTAGGAATGGTGAAAGCTCTACTAGTCTCTAAAATACCATTTTTTCGTCAGTACTAAGACTTAAGCATCAGATACAGACTCAGGAGCGGTGGCAAGAGTCATCACTCCTTGCTTGTACAGAATATCTCTCACAGTGTCCGATGGTTGAGCACCCACTGACAGCCAGTACCTGTCCACAGGAGAGATAGCACACAAACACTGATGTCAACTGACTGAAATATACTGCATTCGAACTAGATGTGCAGATTCCAATTTAGGTAAAAACAATGTGCTGCGCGCAACTATTGCATGTACACTTGAAAATGCATCAATTGCAGATTATTATGATAAAACGGCTTACTTGACCCTCTCGACGTTTACTTGGATATCCTTCTGACCATTTTTGTCTGCCAAAACAAAACACCTGTCAGCGAGGACTACGTTCGACTTGCTCAAGTCATTGAAAAGTTCGAAGGTAAAAGAGTAATCTGCAGAGAGAAAGTCATCATAGAAGGTGTACAAATTGTGCATGAAACACCTATGTAGATGTGGGTTCGGCAGCTTTAGTGACGAAAGCAGACTGACTGATCTTTACGACCACCCCCAATGTTAGCAAAGGATACGCTTTCTGTTCCGAGAAGAATTCTCACCAGGCATGGGGTTGTAGTGGCCAACCATCTCCAGGAACCTTCCATCACGACGAGCGCGGCTCGGAGCGATAATGATACGGTAGTAGGGAAGTTTCTTGCGACCAAGGCGGACCAACCTAATGCGCACTCCTCCTTTTCCTGCCACTCCCTCAGCGGCCTCTATTTTCAAGGGCTTCCGCATTACAGCTGTGGGCGCATTACAATTTAGTAGTCGAATTCGAGAAGCAAACCCACCGACATAGAAACAGGTCTACAGCAATCTGGCGAGGAATGGAAACCCACACTCCTGTGTCAAGTGATATCATCAGCAATGAAGAATTGGACGTCAGGTTTATCCTAATTGCAAAAATTCTGGGGATGAGAAGCAGGTAATGCCTTACTCTGGGCAGGAGACGGCATGGAAGGGCGAGCTGGGGATGAAGCAACCAAGCCATTGAATTCCTGGAACGAGGACCCACGAAGGGACAACGACGCCATGGACGACGTAGCAGCAGCTGCAGCCATTACGGAACACTGTGCAACCAGGCGAATCAATCCAAGTTCGAGATTACAAGCTCGGCCGCTCCGCAAACTCCCTGCCCACGAAACAGCCCACAACACAAATCCAGCATCAGAAATTGGCTTCGGTTTCGTTCCAGGGCCAAGCAAAGCCTCCGAGCGAGCAAGCGCCTTATCCGAAACCCCGCCCAGAACGACGAAGCTCCTGGGAACACGTTCCCGGTTCTCGCCATTGGGAGCATGTTCTCTGTCCTCTCCGTAGGGAACTTGTTCCCTGTTCTCTTCATTGAGAACATGTTATCTCATTCTTCTTCATGGGCATTATTAATATTAGCATACAATAAAATTTCAAGTGTGATGAGATTAAAATTTTACAAAATATACAGTGACTTATTAAAAAAAAAAAAATCTAATAGGTAACAAAAAAGTTTTAAATCTTGATTTAATTGATATTAAAAAACATCCCTAATATATATATATATATATATATATATTTCTATAAATCAAGAATATGTTTAAATTGCACGATATTTAGAATGACTATACAACATACCTTATCACACTCAAATTTACTAATTTCATAAAAATATGCTAATAACAATCTACCAAAATATTTTTTAATTTGAATTGGCATTTTTAAAAATCAAGATTTAGTATAAAAAAAAATATAAATGAGAGATTATGTAAATTTTCATTAAAAAAAAATACTTAGTAGTACAAAATATTTAATTTTTAGAATTAATTATAATATATTTGTTAAAATGAATCCTTCACATAAAAGTAGTTATTGGTCTAATTGGCAAAAAATTGAAAAAAATGACAACCATTCTTATTCTTTAATTCTTAAATCATATCAATATATTTTCATTATTCTAAAAAAAATTTAAAAATTAACATGACTTGATATAATTATGTCAATAAATACATATTTATCTATTTATTCAAATATAATAAAAAATTAACATGACATTAGTTTTATATATATATATATATATAAATATATATATTTAATTATTTAATTATCATATAAAATAACTTGGATAAAAGATAAAAAGATAAAGATACATTCTAATTGATTCTTAAGAAGATAGTTTTGAAAACTTGGAGAACGCGAAGTGGACGAGGTCTACATATCTCTAAGAACCAAGTTATTGGAATCCAATAAAGACTTTTTGACCTGCCAAAGTGATGAAGGTCCTAGCTTTAGATTTATTTTGGTGGTATAAAATGTCTTTTTCAAAATAGAGTCACTAGTAAAGCAAATAAATGTGAAGACTAAATTAGAAAATAAAACCAAATACAACCTCATATAATGATTGTCATGGACATATATATTTACCCATATAAGAAGTCTTTGATAAAAGATAAATATAGGTAGATTTGATAATATCTTCTGGCAAAGCTTCTTAGAATCTTTGTAAATACATATTTGATTTTAGATGTGTTTTTAATTGATTAATAGATTAGAAACTTAGCTAGTAAGTTAGCGATGTATCACACATGTTAGTAGCTTGTGGTACAAGTCAACCATGTTGTGCACAAATATGAAACTTGTCTTACAAGTTAAATATGTATCTTGCAAGTTAGAGACATGTTGAAGGTCCTATAGAACATTGCTATGTAGCTTCTAATAAGATAGTACATATAGATTCAAGAATAAAGCCTTCTTCACTTTTGTCAATGCTTTTTTAATCCTTAGTCTTATTGTCTTTAGTAATAGCCAATCTGGTTTCAAAATTATATTAATTTTGAGAGAATATCTAATCTTTTCAAGTGACACATGAATGTACCGAATTTTTATTTGTTTGAAAATCATGTCCTTGATAATAGTCTTCCTTCCATAATGCCTTTATAATTTTTTTTTATTGAAATACTATAAATATGTATGAATTATATTTGTTGTTGAGACTAACAATGACACACCATATATTTTGCTAGTTAGAATATCTATATGATTCAAGACATGCAATAAAAAAAAAATCTCAAACAATGAGATGGAACTAACTACCTTTTCACAAGGCTTTTATGAAATTTTGATAGACAAGATATCTAATTAAATCAAATTAAGTCAATATGAATATTTCTATTACGAACATACACATGTAAAGCAATTATTATCTATATGATTAGATAAAAGTAAGTAAAAGTAGATTAATTCTATAATATATTCTATAAAAGCTTCGTAGATGTTGCTTTGACTTTATAGGTGTCTATAATTGACTTTATAGGTTAAAAAAATAGTCAACAAGTTAGCCATGTGCCACATACATTGGTAGCTTGAAGCACAAGCTAATTATGTGGCACATTCATAGAAAACTTGCCTTATAAGCTAAGGCATGTGTCTTGCAAAGTCAATATATATTAGAGGTCCTATAGAACATCGCCATGTAGCTCCTAGTTAGATAGTATATATAGAGGTAAGAGTAAAGCCCTCTTCACTCTTATCAATTCTTTCTTGCTTCTAGTCTAGATTCAAGAGTCTCTAGTTTCGTTATCTTTTGGCAATAACCATTTTAGTTTCTTTTTAATATACATACTACTTTATTTCTATTTTGTCAATTTTATTTTGATATAAATTTCTCAGATTTATGCAACTTTTTCTAGTTCATATCCTTAACAATTTATTGATTCAAAAAATATAAAGTGACATTCAAAGTAGAAAACACAATAGGCCCAAAATAAAACAAATATTGCTTTAAATTAAAAAAATTAGTTTCAAAATCATGTTGTTACTTTTGTTTTAACCAAAATAAAAGAGTATTAATTTTTTAGTTGGAACATTCTTACATCAAAGTATAAAAGTACTCTTATTGCATTGCCAACAATAAATCTTTACTCTTATCCACAAATATAAAAAAAAAAAAAAGTATTTTTAATATTTGGCATCTTTCTATATATCAAGATTTATAGTAAAGTTGGAGCTATATAAAGAAAATTTCATACCACTACATCTATTAGGACTCTTTATTTGAGCAAGTTTCAAGGCATTTTATAAAAACAAAAGAATTAGTAGTTTTAATTGTAAGTTTTGATTCATATAATATCAAATTTTATAATGTTAGATTTCATGAAGTTTTTCAAAGCCTAAAATCATTTCATCAAATTCCTTAAAGATAAACCATGATTACAATTCAAATATGTCTAAATATCCATCCTTTCATTTGCATCATTAAATATAAATCCAATCTTATTCTTATTAAAAATGTTCTCAATATTTGCATCAAATATATTACAAATGGAAGCAAGTACATTATTTTATTACATGAAGTCTTGTTTAAGAATACATTGAGCATTTGGCTATAGAAGATAAATTAGAAATTATAACAAAAAGGTCCTAAAAGTTCTAATATAATCCTATATAAAATCCAATTAAAGCTTAATAATTTTAATTAGACCTTAATCTAATTTAAGATAATCCTTAAAGAAATTATTAAATAATATAAAGAAATATTAAGGAATTTTTTTAAAGAAATCATAAAAAATCTTACAAAAATTAATAAAAATAATAAAAATAGAAATCTTAAAGAAATATTAAAAATAAAAATATGAAATAAATCTCAAGTAAATTTTAATAAAATCTTAATAAAAACTTAATAAAATCCTAATTAAATCAAAATCAAAACTTAAATAAATCTAATCAATTCCTAATATAATTCTAAAGAAATCCTAATGAAGATCTAAATAAATTCTAAATCATATCCTAATCAAATCTCAAATATTAAATCAAATTCTAATAAAATCTAATTCAAATCTTAAATTCTAAATAAACACTTAATCAACTCTATGTAGAATTGAAACCTCAATAATTACTCATTTAACCATAGATTTTAACTCAAAATTTGCACACCTCTTAATTATTTAGTTGAAAAAAAGCATATATAATTTTAAGAATATTAAACTCATTAAATAGAAGATAAATTCCACAATTCGCTTTGGTGTTGGTTAGTATCCTTCTCCAACCTTGATGTCAATCTCTCATAGCCAATGTCTCTTAAATTCACCATCCAATGGCTTTCAAACTTTTTACAATAGATGAAAACCAAGTCTTCTACTACTATATAGAATTTTATTTTAATCCAATAAGTGAATTACTGAAAATTTTAAAAACCTTCACAAGTCTTTTAAATTCTAATTTCTATAGCTCTAATAGTTTAAAATTCAATAACTTTCAAATAGACCATTTTTTTAAGCTTAAATTAAAAATAAAAATAAAAAAACATAAAATAAACACTCAATCAAAAAAATTCACTTGTAGATTATTTATCAATCTCTCATAATTCTCCAAAGTATAAATTCTTTATATTTTTCAAAACTCAAAATCATCTCAAAATAACCTTGTCTTTGTAAAATCTTTATAAAGCCATTAAAAATTATGTTGTCAATTATATAGTTGTATACAAATTTTTAATTGTATATAACTATTTATTGTATACAAATTTATAATTGATAATAGTTTTATACAAATATACAATTATATATATATTAGATGTAATATATAGATGTTGTATATAGTTGTATACAACTAAAAAACTATTGTGAGCTATATATTTATATACAACTATTGTCAATTATATAGCTATTACAACTCTATAGCTATCATAGCTATTATCAAGTTATAATCTATTATTAGATAAATTACAACTTAACAAAGTGCCACTTAGATCCAAGCATAGATATTATCCATTTTAATTGTTATAAATTATTAAAAATAATATAAGATAAACTTGATTACAAAATAACATCAAGTTTATTAAATATAAGAATAATCACACTTAAAGTAATAATTATGATCTTTAAAAAATCATCTTATACAATGGTTTACATCCTTCAATGTTTTTGATAAAGTAGAATCAATCATACAAAGAATGAATCTATATTTTTCTCATTAAGTTTTATTTCATACAACCTAAAAAAGAATAGAAGGTTAAGATTAAAATCTAGACAAACCTATTTGCAAATCCACTAGTCTTTTGCATCACTATTAATATTTTATAGCATAATAATATCATCTAAAAATAGAAAAAATAAAAACAATAATAACATATATTAAAGATTCATTTGACGTTAAACGAGCAAAAATACCATATAATATAATAAGTAATAAAATTAGTGGTTTGGGCTCTAGAAAATTAGTATAGAATTAAGTAGATTACATATCAAAATCGTTGTTATATAAAGAGGTGTAGAAAGTTTTTCTATTTTTATAAAAAAATAATTAAAACTTAAACTT